TGTTGTTGCATACCTTCTCCATAGTTTGTCCTTCCGGTTTACTTCTTTTTCATATCCCGCGTTATCCAGGCAAGACGAATATTCTTTTTAACTCTCTTTGTCGGACAGTTTCGATGAATGATGTCTGTTACAAATCCTTTGAGTGTGTTCCAATCAACGTCCAGATGTCCGGAAAAAAACATTATTCCAGTCCACTGCCGATAATTCCCTGCTCATAGCGGCAAAATCGCCTCGCCAGAAATTCAGCCGAGGCTCAGTCGTATTCACTTGTTGGCTGCATAGGCGGTATTCCCAAAACAGCATGACAGGGTCACTCTTACCAAGCGGTGTTATGGACCTAAGTTCGCCAGGGTTAATTGAGTCTCTTGTAAGGACGAGGTCCAGACAATTTCCTCTTTGGTCCTCTCTGATCCTCGTTGGGAACGTGACGTTTTGTACCAGAAAGAGATTAGCCGTTAGCTTCAAGTGCCTGGAATCAAAGGAATTTCGCGAACCATTTACTAATAAATTGTTCCAGTCGACCATGGGTGCGTTTAAGTCTCCGGTTATCAGTACCTCTTGGTTTTGTGACACCTCCTTAATTAACCCAAACATCGCCTCGTCAACCTGAGCAGTTTGATTGGGAAACCTATATACGGTCAGGAAATTCAAATTAGGTGACCCATGCATCCGCAGTTTTAACCAAATTGTTTCACAGTCGCGGGAGTAATCGGTTTTGTGTTCCGACACGATGATTCCTCTCCTGACGTAGACCGCTATTCCCCTCCTTTTTTATGCAGTCTGTCCCGGCAAAAAAGTTGGTATCCATCGAGTGGAATTTCGGCATCCAAGACTTCGGTCTGGAACCAAGTCTCTGTGATAGAATTGACATCCGGCTGCGTATCCGATATCCACACTTTCAGCTCATCTAGCTTTTGGAACAAACTCTGAGCATTTACATAAAGAAAGCGTAGCTTAGCCTGGGCAGATTCCCGAACGATTTTTGGGTCAAAGGTGCTGGATATTTCGTGTGAGTTTTCGGGTCTATCGTCCCCTTCCTAGTCTAGTGCTGTTTGATTGGACAGGATGTTATTGTGTTGGCCGTCGTTTCCTCTGATCGGTTTGTCAGATAGGAGCGTTCTTTCCTTATTATCTGGTTGTTCATTATGCTTAGTGTTATTGGTTTTCTCCAGAGGAATGAGCTCCGAACATTTATGATTTTCCCATTCAATATTCTTAGGTTCCTCTCGCCAGAAGTGTATCATCTGAGGATTTCGACCTTGAGCTCCCTCCATTTCTCCCGTTCGGCCGGTGAGAAATCCCGCTGAAAAAAATTGTCGGGTGGGCATCTCGCAGTGCTGGTTTCCTGTTCAGCAGTAATAGAGCTTGTTCCTCACTTTCGAGAATGATTTTTAATGGTCTATAATGGTCCGGCTCGCCCATCAAATCCTTAATTAGCCCTATTCTGAAAGCTTTTAGGACGGCGATGTTCTCGTTCTCTTGTAATAGGGATTTGAGGTAATGCTGGAATAATTCTATATCGTGGTTTATTCTGTTCTTTGGGGAGTCTGAAGAAGACTCAGGCATACCCTTTACGATTATGTGTTTATTGCGATCACTAGGGCGCTTTCGTTTGTTTTTATACGCAGAGTCTGCATTGCGAAATTCTTGTTATCATCGATGTCCAATTCAGAGACAGTTGTCATGGTATAGCTACCGCAGGGTTCCTCGTTTATCGAGGCGTCTTGGTCATGTGGTACCTCTTTTGGCAGTGAGGCATTTGCTTGCATTCTGTGTGGACTCTGCTTTCCCTTGCTGACGCTCTGACATACTTGGTCTTTTCGGGATGCTTTGAGACTTATCCCGGTTTTTTGGGATGCCCTTCGGTTAATTTTCGCTCGCACATGAGACAGGGTCTCGGTTCTCATTGGGTTCTTAGACGGGCTGTCTTCTTTTCCAGGGGCCAATACAGTTACTGAAGTCGTATTGGCCGTTTTTCTGGTCATCTTCTGAACTTCCGACATCGCCATCTTTCTCCTTTCGGGTGAATAGTGAGGAAGTTCCATCAACTTCTCCATCTCAATTCTTAGATTCCTTATATCCTTCTCCATCTCCAAGATTTTCTGAAGAAGCCTAAAATATGACGCGCAGGCTTCGACCTCGTATTTACCATCCAATACAGTTATTAGGCTCCTTGCGCGTTTGGCGGGTGGTGATTTGACAGCAGAAGACTTATTGCAGTATTCATTTACACAGCGTCCTTTGGTTACTTTATCATTTTTGTCAAGCTGCCTGCCGCGCGTCAATAGCGTAGTGGGAGCGACAGTTGCACCGTCACCCTCTTGCCCAGGTTCGACCCCGTCCCGAGGCGCATTTTTCGCCCAATGTCTGGAGGACCCTGGATTGACTACCATTATTAAGCAAATAAACTTGAAACGTTCGTAACGGTATGAAAACGATTTTAAGCGAGACCAACGGTAGGAAGTAAATAGCAACGACTCAGCCGTTCTTGTATTTGGGGAATATCGCGGTGCGGTTGTCAGAGATGTGGTCGAAAGGAGATAGGTTTTCCAGACGAAACTCCCGTTGCAATTCTGTGAGAATCGAGTTAAAGGCCCATGCCTATTTACCTCAATGAATGAATTGCACTGAACAAATTAAACTTCAAATCAGGGCAACCTGGCATTTCCTACGGAAATAAGTTTTATAGGGAGCCAAGTATGGAGCACGGAGGCCACTGAGGTTGTTGATCGATTGAGGACCGGAAAACCATGCCTCGAGCAGTTCACGGCTCACACGGTTGTCGCTCCTGACAAAAATTTATGCTTCGTCAAACTTAAATGTGTGATTCGGTCCTGTTGAATGAGCCTCGACTTAGGAGCCGACGTCGGTCCTCTTCACTGCTGCTGCGTGCTCGGCCATCCGCGTTCGGAGTAGTCTTCCGGTTTCCCTGATATAGCTGCTTTGCCCACACCTGCGCCAAACAAGTTAAGCGACTCCAGGTGTTTCTTGCCGTGGCAATGAGTCTTTCGACCTCATGATCTGGCGCCTTATGGTTGCCTCCGTTCTGTGTGCAACTTCAATTCCAAGGGGTGTGAGAAGGCGGCTGACGGCTTCAGAGACATTCGTCACATGCGGGATAACTCGCCAAAATTTGGGGCCGGTTGGATTTTGCATCTCGTCTCGTTTGCCCAAGCCCTTGTTGACGAAGTTGCGCGGGTAGTCACTCGCTCTAAACAGCCTTGTCTACCGGTTCACTGCAGTGTATCCACACGCTAATATAGCACCCTTACACAACTGCGTTTGTGACTGATTGGGTTGTTGCTGCTGTAGCTCAATATATGCGTCGTGTTTTTCGCATTCATGAATAAATAATAAATAATACTTTGGTTTTTAGGCCACCGCAATCTTTACGGCAAGCGAGTATCTCAAGAAAGGCCAGTTGGTTGTTTTCATCTTCATCATCGTAAATTGAATGTCCGGGAAGATGTCGTTGAGGTGTTTTTTGAAGTTCAGCATCAGATCCCGTTCAATAACGACGAAGATATCATCCACATACCACGCCCAGAATTTCAGTCCGCGGGGTTAAAAAACCAGCGAATCCAACCGTTGTATGACCGCCGCGGCTACGTGTCCCGAAGTCGGCAAACCCATTGGCGTGCCCTTAACTTGCTCATAGATTGTTGCGTCGAAAGTAAAGTACGTCTATAGACAGAATTTTTGGCGTTGGAGGATTTGGGCCTGTCCAAGGCGATTCTCCGTTTCATCGTATTTGTCACGGAGGAGTAGTTCGATGGTCTCGACAGCTAGCTCCTGTGGAATAGAAGTAAAAAGGAACGTGACATCAAAGGATACCATAGCATCGTTTGGCAGGAGACTTAATTTAATTTTCGCCAAGAATTGTGTCGACGAGCTGACTGTAGTGTATGAATTTGCCGTCAGAAATTTGAGACGCCGAAAGAGTTGGAGTACCTTTGAGGGATGCGATAGGCTGGAAAGGAGTACCTTCTTTGTGCACCTTGTGAAGACCATAGAGGTGGACCAAGGCCGTGTCCTGGATTCCCGCCGTGCGCCGGTCAGCCGTTGATATTGCACGCGGGTTTTCCAATGCCAAAAGCGTCGCATTGATTTTTCGTGTCAGTGGTTTAACCGGCTTGGTTGCACAAAGAGCAAAGGACTGTCGGTCTCCCGGCAAAAGTTTGGCCTTTTAAAGGAAGTCCCCACTGTCCAGAACAACCGTGGAACACCCCTTGTCCGTAGGCACGATAACGAAGTCTTTGTCGGCCTTGAGTCCACTTATTGCAGCACGCCCGACTTTGGACAGCAATTTGCGCAGACTGTGAGTAATAAGGAGAGACGACACTCTGTGTCGAATAAGGTTCTTGGTCTTGCCGTCGTCTCCGTCTGAATGAGGATTGATTCCTTTGCTGCGATCAAGTTGACAGTTTTGGCATCAGCTATGTAGAATGAAGCCTCATACGTAACGCCTGAATCTGATTCTTCGTCATCCCCTCTCACGAGAGGTTGTGCACCATTGTCATACAGCAGTTAAATAAACATAAACAATCGAAAGAGCCCAGATTCGGGTAAAACGACGAAAAACATCAATCATGCGAAGGCGATGATAACACAAAATTTGTGAAATTTTTTTGTGAAGTCAGTGGTTTATCACCTACACTAACTTATTTCGTTGAAATGTGACTGTCGGTTTAACTACTGGGAAGTCGGTCAGGGTCATGCGCTGGGACGAGCACTGTGAGAATACGTTTGACAATGATCATTGACCGTTGCACTATCACTTATGGAAAGGAGACACTTTCTCTGAACTATTAGATATCGTCAGCAGTCTAAAAAGCCTGTTCATCAAAAACACTCCAGCCCGAGCCATTATCTAGTCTAAAAATCTGCATCCACCCGGCACCTTTCTCTCACCTTACCTTCTTTTAATAAATCATCCCCAAGCCGCGGCCACCAAAGCAGTCAAAACTTCCACTTCTCCCCTGTCGGTTTACCTGGGAGAGATGCACCGCGTTTTCGGACGGGGCCAAGCGAAGGCTCCTGCACCAACTCTCACAGATGCTGCAGCTAACGTTTGATCTTCCTTTCTTGGAACCTTCTTTAGATTGATAACAGAATTGCTACCCTCGACAAAAAAATCGACATGATGCGTCAAGAAATTGGAAAATACCAGCAGCAAATGAAGAACATGAGAGAGGGACCAGCAAAAGAATCTGTAAAGCGTAAAGCCATCGGCGTTCTTCGCCAAGTCAAGCAGTTAGAAAAGCAAAGAGAATGCTTGTCTTCACAGAGCTTTAATATGGACCAGGCTGGCTATGCCATCCAGAGCGTCAAGGACACCCATGTCACTGTAAATGCCATGAAAACTGGCCTTAAGGAATTCAAAAAGGAGACCAAAAAGCTCGATATTAACAAAATTGAGGTAATTTTTCCTTATTTTCGTCGTAGTCTTCTGCCTCATATCCTCGTAATGATGACATCGTACTATCTGAGTGACAGTGTGAACATCCTAATTACATAGCACAACAGCCATATACATCGCAATTTTCGTTAGCCGTACCTCGTTAACTTGGCTTTAGCTAGTTTTCACTACCATCTGGGTCATTCCCTGCTTGCCCTCTGAACCTTATCCTCCACCACTATGATAGAATCGACGGAGTTGCCCACGCGAATCGTTAGGTTTATTTTGATAATGACAATAGTCTGGACTGTTTGCAATAGGATGATGTCTGGTTTAATACTCTTTGTAATCTTTTATTTTTGGTAAAGTTGTACTGCCATTTTATTATCAGGATTTGCAGGATGACCTGACCGACATGATGGAACTGCATGACGAGTTTGGGGAAGTGCTCGGCCGGTCAGTTGTCCCTCTTGACTACAATGAAGAAGATCTTGATGCAGAGTTGGCAGCACTCGGCGAGGACTACGATGCCAGCCGCGATAGTGCCTATTTGGACGAAGCCCTCAATGCTCCTGGTGTACCCAGTGCTGCTGTTGGTGGTCAGAGTGTCGTGCCGAGTGCGCCTGCTGCGACTACTTCCGTAAGTGCAGGCAGACACAGCTTGGTCCTTTTGCTAAGGTGTTAGCTTAGGACTTGCGCTTGCCTTATGATCTAATAAGAATTAACTAATCATTCGGTATCTGGCCCGTACGACTTGGTTTTCCGTTTAACGGCAACTTAAGATGTCTCCATAACTTTAATCTTTGCATACTTGGGGCAGGAGGTAGCATAGTCACGCTCGACGCCTAGCTTGGTATTTCCATGGACAGTTATAGATACTAATGCCTTTTCCATTAAGCGTAATGACTATGCGGGCTGGATGTTAAGTTATATTTTCATGGCTCGAGTCTTGCCTGTTTGGACGGACGTCCGGATAACAGTAGTCACCACGGAAGCTGTGAACGTTGTGCGGTTACCTTACGCGAGGTAACGCTCTCTAACTCTCGAAAGCTGTATAGAAGAGGTCCTGTCCTGAAGACTTATTTGAGACCGTTTAACAATTTCAGCAAAATTGTGGTTTTCCTAAAAACAGCCGCATCCTTACTCTCTGGGTTTCATGTTAATTCTCATATTCCGACAATTTGGGTGCACATATTTAGTCGGAGTATCGCTTGTTGCCTTATTCTCATCGGCGTGAGCTAGAATTACTCGGGCGGGTTCTTCCCTGACTTCTAACCCATCCTTTTCAATTGTTGTTTGCACTCCAATGTATCCTAACGCACTGAATTCGTTTTGTGTACCCTTCTTAAAGAACTTTTTTTGACTCGAAACGCAAATTCGTGAACTGTGTGCTCTCTCATTGCATTTTGAACGTAAGCGTGGTTGTTACCTGCATTTATTTTTCAACTGAAACTTTAAATTACAGAATAACTGTCAAACAAAAATAGCAACCTCCACAGTAACGGTCAGGTTGGTCCAGGAGAGCTCTTCATCCAAGCGTTAAAAGTAACAGTAGCATTATAATGACCCCAATACTCCACCTCCAAGGAGCGCATCCTCAAGCGGAGCGTGTCGGAAAGCACATTGTCGGTAGATGGTGGATCACAATTGTATTTGTACCCGGGCGTCGAAGCGTCTTGAATACTGGACGTCAACTAGGGAAGACATATGCCGCAGAGTTGAAAGGATTGAAAGCTGCTCCCTCCCTGTGGTGAAGTGGGAGTGACGCCTCCACTGCACCTTTTTACCCACGAGGGCAGACAGTCTATAAGATCCAGTAAGGTCTGCTGGCTGAAGAACGTCCGACATCATGAAGTTTTACTCTCGAGTCCGGCATGGCGCGTCATGCGGGACGCCTGAGGACAAAGCAAATATAGCAAGGACGGATTGGATTTACATTGTAATTTTTTGGATGTTTTCAGTTGCAGGGGTAACTCTCGCGGAAACGCCTGGCTCGCCCTAGCATCTTTTACAAGGTACTCTGGTGATTAGGTTTCGGTCCGAGCCAGTTGTTTTGACTGACGACCCTCAGAGACCGTTTTCGCCTACATGAATAGGAGTGGTAGAATCCTTGAGGAGGTCACCGTGACAAATTCTCACAAGTCGCCTCTCTCTCCACTCAACGCAATAATGCTGACCAAAATGCAACTCATTAGGCAGAGATGTCCTGTAGAACATCGACCAAGGTTTCGCTTTGCAATTTTGTTACCCTCTTCCATAATATCAGGGCTGCACGTTGGTATGCACCCGACTGTTGTCTGACATGCGTTGCGAAAACCTTTCTGAATGTTATAAGCATATCGGGTTGGCGCGCACGCAACAGTAGCTGTGGTGCTCACGACGAAACAGCTAGGTCAAATAAGTGTAATCCCCGCGTATAGGCAAAATTTTAGCCTAGGTGGTCGGAACATGGTGTCGCCCAACGTTGTCATCAGTACCTCTGTTGTCGCATTCGAAGCTTTTCTCCGCATCTGGCACCCTAGGGCCGCATGAGCCTCAACCTGGCAAACAAAGTCCCAATCGTACTGTGCCAGAACTCGCATAGTTAATTTCGAATCTGCCGACGAGGGTTACACGCGGAGGGACTTTCCTAAGGCTCAATCGGCGATCATCTTTTACCTCGGCACAGCGCGTCTGTACAGACCTCAGATGTTGACGCCATATGTTGCTTTGCTTCTAGAACCCTCTCATTTCTATTAGCCTTGTTGTTGTGATGTCAGAAGTAACCTTCTTCACTGTACTTCCACGCCGCCTTGTCTCACTTGCGTGGGCATTATTAACAGTCTGAGTCAGTTTCTAAGCCTGGTTTGGACTGTGTCATTGCGTCCTCCTAATTATCGTAACCGCAGATCGTGTCCGCTGTATTTTCCCTGAGAAGCCAGTCTACGTAGTCCAATCTTGTGACTTGTTCCACGCGAGTCCATCTGGTCCTGACGCAGCAGTTTCTATTTCTGCAAGAATGGCGTCACAGGCAACCGTAGCGTACCCCATACTGAAGCCTAACATAAGTGTAAAGACAATTCTCCAAGGCCTCTGGCATTTTATACGCATAAGTTGATGTCGCATATCCAGATAATGCAACAACTAGGATCGCGTGTAAGCAGTTGTGTCGACCAGCTTATTTAGCCTTGCGAAGAAGGAGACACGATCGTTGGAACAAGAGCTTTATTAGCCTTTAGTTAGCCTTGGTAAAGGCCTTAGACTGGATATGCCTGTCACTTCGGTGGTTATATAGCTTTATTTCCATGCGCAGTATTGTGATATTTGTCGCACATCAAAACCAGCCAAGAACCTAGTAGAGCGTTGTGGTGTCCGCACTTCAACCATCTCCGTTTCGGACAGCTAATTAGTCGAACTTCTAGCATACTTAAGTTTGATTTTTTTCCATTGCCCTGTTTGGATTGATTTCCTCCTGCCAAGAGGTTGGGCATTACAGTTAATATTTGCTTTTTTTCCTTTGATAACGGTGGCAGCGAGATATACTGAAAAACCACGAATAGATTGCTGATTCTTCCTGGTTGAGTAACAGCCCCTTATGTCTCTTATTTGGTCCCTACAATCTACTGTGCCGCAAATGTGCCAGACAGGAACTGAGTCTGACTGGCTCACGGTGCACGTTTATTTGGCTGTGCTAAGTCAGTGGGAGCCCGCAAATACCGCGATACATGACTTTGGCACGCCCCAGACGTAGGTCTTCGCGCCTTGTTATCCACTGCGCCCAAACCCATCTCCGGCTGGTTTGCTGGCTCGGACAGCCGACCGATGCGTTGGAGAGGACAGGGAGCTTGATGTGCAAATTGGGGAATCTGTCCCCACAGTACGTTAATCCAGCCCTCGCTACAATAAACCTGACGCGCCAAACTCTATCACGAAGCGCTAATAGCCCTGGTTTGGGTTGTTGCCAACTGACGGGAGAACTCGGTCCTCATAGTGAGCAACCAGAAGACAGAGTCGGACTGCATTGGCTCCTCAAAAGACCTTTATGAAACCCTCACGCACACGAGATCCTAGTCGCCCTTACAGCAGTCTGACGCATGTGGTGGAAGCTAGGTCGTATGTAGCACACAAAGACTGACTGTTTAGCTTCGTCAGTCATTGCGCCTGCGCCCACCTCCGGCCGCCTTGACATTGTCTCGCCATCGCAACAAGGTGGGTGAGGGGGTGCGTTCGATAGGTGCTGTGCAAGCCCGCCCCATCTCTAACTAATTCACGCGCAAACCACCTGTTCTGCGCCTAGTCAGTGTGACACCCGATGAACGTCGTCGCCAACGGTGGCTTAGTAAACCACTCATGCCGTCAGAATGACCTCTGGGGTTGCCTAGTTGGCCAATTATGAGAATTCTACCGTATTAATCAGTCATGTTGTGTTTACGCCTCTGTGGTCGGCTTTTGCCCATTGCATCTCCTCGGAGATAATTTCGAAGGTTCAAATTAAGTAGCATAATTGTCATAGGAAGGCCAGAGTTGTTTCGATGTCCGGTATGGGGTTTTAAACCTATAGAATTTTTTTTATTTGTTGTCCATAGTTTACTTAATCGTTGTCAGAGGCCAATAATGACACCCGGTTCTGGGAAGTAGATTGTCTGTTTATTGTGACCCCCTACAATGGGTGATGTCTCTTGAATTTATAACCGTAATTCTGGAGTGAGTTTCCGACTATGAAGAATTACTTCGTTTCTGTTGTGACATTGATTATCATGTAGTACAGTCCCGAAATGTGTCGGTCACGTCTTAATGTCAGCTCATTAATGTGCTTTTTTTCTGACCGTCTACGAAATCCATTGACTAACAAATGGCTACCTAACTGTCATGACCTTTTTTCATTGATTTTCGATGCTCTCATAAATTTAAATGCATAAAACTATCTTCCTGTATTCATTTGACAGAAAATCACGTCTTTTTCGAATGTTATACTCAAAGAAAGTTTAGCTTTAACTTTAAAAATAACAATTATGTGACTTCTCGCTACCGTGCAATGTTCATTCAAATAGTGTTTTATCTGTCCGCTGATTAATGCTCCTCGTGAAGTATAAAACATGGTCGATATCCATTGCAAAAACGTTGTGAGCCCTATGTGGTATTTTCTTAATAGCGTAGCGGAACGTATGGTCTCCCTCACCTGGAAAGTGTGCAGCCCGTATTTTAGGAACCCTGAATGCAAATCCAATTACAGACCGGGCTCAAAATTATTCGGGAATTGAAAAGCTCTTTAAAGCCGAAAGCTACACCTTGGGATACGAAATTGGAAGAAGACGTGATTTGCTACCAAACGATTACAAGAGAGGATATTCCGTATGTTTTTCTACGAGATATGTTTGAATTCGTAAGTGTCGAAAATCAATAGAAAGAAATCGTACCACTTACGCAAGCAACTGCAAAAAAGTGCACCCAAAAGCCGGCAGGCTGGCGCGATTGACTTCTCTTGGAATTACGTCACATCCTGAGCAATATTGTACCCCTACCTACATAATCATTCCTCATCAAAAACGCATTCCAGGATTTCGGCTAACACTTGTGATACTCCGCCTTCTGTAGTCCTTAGGCCAATAACTTTGACGGAGTTTTAGCCTGACGGTGAGCAGCGACTTGCACAGGCGCATTGATTTATGAAGCCTCTCAGAATTTAAAAAGCCTTAATCAGATGGGTTGAAGACGAGAACAGCTGTCTTTTTGAGGGCTGCATAACACTTAACAATGACAGTTTCAGGCCGGACCAGGTAAAAGTTCACGATAAATTTTGTTTATCCTTTCCTACTTTGTTTCTCGCTATTTCACTGGTGTTGCCAGTAAAGCTTCGTCGTGCTACCAAGTACAGGCCCTTTGATGAGGGCTCAGATTCCAGCGAACATTCAGCACTGTTAGGAAACGTAGGCAAGCTGCCTTTATTTGCTCTTCGTTCCAAAAGTTACCCTCGTCCAAGAACGAGCACGCGTCACTCTTGACTATGGGCATACATTGCCCAAAGGTACCGGCAGGTTTACGTCATTCCAATGTTTTACAACACGTTCGGGCCTGTTTGCCACGACAACGTGTCTTGTGTACCTGCTAGCCTGTCTAATCCTGTTTTCTTCTCCCCCTTCCCTCCATAGGGCGGCGTCGCTCTGGACGAGTTCGGCCTGCCACAGATTCCCCAGCAGTGATTTGCCCCATTGTTACTCTTACCTCTGTTATCTACTTTACTTGGAAACAATCCATGCTATTCAGCCATCCTGTGTACCCTTGACGATACCTATTGTCTATTGTACCGTCTGAACCCCTATTTTTGCGCCCGACCTTCCTCTCATCAAGAGTACCCAGCAGTCTTTCTTCTCTATATTTAACTTCTGGTTTATTAGTAATCACACTCAGAGCCGCATCTGGTATCGGGAGCGTCGGATAGAAACCAGACCTTCCGGATATTACGTAAAATCTGCTGTTTCTAGAAGTATAATAGCACACACAGAAATGCAGTACGCCTCACGACCTCCAGGGCATTTTATTTTCACTGTAAGGCGATTTTTCAGCTGCCTTACTGACTGAAGTCCTCCAGTGCTACTGACGGCAAGTGGGCAATTATTCAGCCATCCGTCTTCTTTGGCCAGGTTCGAGCGAATTTTAATCTTACATTCTTCTACCTGGTACTGCTGCGATCAGGCCTGATGTGGCCTGCCTCGATGGGATCTTGCATTAGATCTCTATGCGCAATGCGCTGTGACAACAGATTTGGAGAGCTCAACACACTCACTCCTCCAGCAACGGAAACCGAATACCGAAGGCCCAAAAAACTTTAATGTTCCGACGAACTGCGTTAAACTGGGTTTTGAAATAACTCCCTTATCATTAACGCCTGTAGGTGGACAGCGGCGCCGTGTGAAGAACAGTAACGCTGAACTCATAAGGCGGGCGACAACGATAGTGACAAAACCACCTTATCCTCGGATAGTCTGAGACACCCCTAACGATGTTGTCACGGGGAGTGCGAACTGTTCGTCCGGCACGAGGTCACTGTGCCCCACTCGAAGGATGGTTCCCAGTCGCCTCCAGTTTTCGCGTAGTCTGCCCTTTACAATCATACGGGGGTTTGACTGTACGGATGTCCGGCAAACGGGGTTATTTGTGGCGATGGAGATATCGCGTTGGTCTGCAAAGTATTAAGGGCTCACCGGATCAATGGAACTGAGTGGCTGAACGGTCATATCTTCATGACCTCTTTCGGGCTAATGGATGCCGAGTGAGCGGACGACGCCCACTAGAAGGGCAACCCGAGATCTGGAGGGCTATTCCTTACATTAAAGGAGTCTCTGAGGCGTTTTTACGACCTACAATCCGTCAGAGTAGGCATTGCCCATCGACCCCAGGCAACAGTTGCCGTTTGATGCAACACAAAGACACTACCACCCACTGAAACCTCAGCAGTTGTCAATCAAATATGTAGCGACGGGGACTGTAACTGCGTTGGGGAGACCGGGCGGAAATTGCAGACCCGCCTACACGAGCACGAACTGGCAGCTCAGAGACTAGGTCCGAACTCAGCATGCGAATCACATCAGAGAAACTAACCACAGTTTTGACTTCCTAGGAGCAATCTTAAACCCGGGCACCTCAGGGACAGAACGTCTCACCTGAGGCCTGGTACTCAGATGCCAACTCCATCAACAGGCATCTAGACCTTCCCGCGGCCTATAAAGCCCTACGTGACTACATACGCCATGACTAGGACAAGTCGGTCACACAGAGCAAACACGGCCCGTCGACTAACTCACCCAAGAGGGGACACAGGTGTGACCGACTCCCATTGGGTGACGACACAACGCAGGAGGCCGCCTACATTCACAGACAGTGGCCAGTAGGCCAGGGAAGCGAAGGAAAAAAATCGATCGGCCCAAGGCCCACTAATTCGGCCGTTTATTCGAAATTCTGGTCGATTTTTGCATTAAGCACTTTGATAATGGAGAGCTGGCCAAGCCCTCCGAAACGTCAGCCACTCAATTCCACTGATCTGGTGAGCCCTTCATATTTCTCAAAGTATAGACCCGGGTCTCTTACATTTACTAACCTGATATCGCGTTGGATTGACAGACACTTTCTGAGGATTACGAAAACCGCAAGGTCAGCATAGATTGTGCTGGTGTCGCCCTTACTGTCACCATTTGGCATCAATCTCTCCGCGAGGTATTTTAGACTCCACATCTGGCCAGCAACCACTGCTCTCGACGGGTGCCTCCTGGTCGGATACGCACATCATTCACTAACAACATCAATTTCGACTAGTCATCGTAACTTGACGCCAGCAGGATGCTACGGTACTCTCAGTCAAGATCGGTCGGCCAGCTTCCGGACTCAAATTCGACTCCTCTCGAACTGTGTAATGTCCTTCCGAAAATCCTGTTAGTGGCATATCTGAGCAGAATGAGCAACAGAAATCAATATTGTCGAACGAATGGGGGATTTCTGTGCGACAGAAGTGGCGCAGTAGTGGGGCGGCAGTGGGCCTCGATCATGGCGTTGCTTTTTGTCGGCACACTGTCTAGTTTCATTGTTCACCGCAGAGACTCATGATGGACGGACCCGAACGCTACGGCGAAGTCAATAAGGCTGATGGCCATCAGATGTTGGTGGCCATGGTGAATCCAAGAATTTGCCGCTGTGTAAATGTCTAGTCGACGCATCCACGCCCTGCTTGAAACACGATTTGGTTGGGTCCTATCCTCCACTTCACATTTGGAACAGTCATTCAGTGCAGACGGTCTACCACTAACGTGGCGGGTAATTTAGTAGGATTTTTAGTGACAGGGGACGTTTGAAGCCTGCTCTACTGAAGTCATTACTCCAATACATCAGTTCCTGCAGCCATCATTTGTCGCTTTTGATGGAAGGAGCCATCGATTTGTCTGAACGGACAACTTCAAGGTCCCTGAGCGAATTCATTCCGCGCGACGTCATTGGTAAATCCAATTACTTTGTCAGTTGACTCGTGGGGTGACCAACTGCTGCTACCTTGTCCCTACCGGATCTCGACGCTCAGGACCTCAACTATGTTAATTTGTTATATTTTCGCGAAGTCAAGGCATCTTGAAGACGACAATTTGCGTGCGGATATGGAGTGAGTTTTCAGGCGTGAATGAGAAAATGGTCTGACCCATGGAAGTTGATAGTTTTAGCATCACGCATCGACCTGCTATCCTGCACCCGGATGTGGAAATTTGGACTTTCTAGAAGGTAATCAATCTGATTGGTCATGTGGCTGTCGTCTGAGTACCATGTCAGCAGATTGTGGTGTTGCTGGAAGCACGTGGTGATGACGAACAGTTTAGCGAGGTTCTGGTCAACAAAGTTAGGCATTGTCACATTGAGAACAAAACCCGAAGCGGACAATATGACAATTGCTTGGAGAGCCGCCTGGCGCGCTCCAGTCACTCCAGCCCCCGGCGGCGATCATCAGATCATGGAGATGGAGCTTTTCAACCAGTTATCGCAGCTGCAAGTGAACTTTTTTATAGAGTTAGTCTGCAGCCGATGTTAGTTCGTAGACGGACAAGGCAGAAATGTTCGTAAAGTGACATTTTAGCCATACGTAAGTCAGTCGGACATTGATTAGCTCCCACGTGAGCAGTGTGTGGTTAGCCTGTTGAGAGCGTTTGGTCGCCACACTGTGTGTACCACAGGAGTCGTATGTGCTGGTGTGGCATATGTTGAAGTGGTAGTTCACTCCTGGAATCTTCACTTCCCCAACGCATGAGTTGGGTATTCAGACCTCCGACAGGCAGCATACATTACGTCCTGCTGCCACGGACTGCGCGCCATCAGGCGAAATTTCGCACGCTACAGTACTTAATGCCAAGAATATGCTCCCGAACATGCAGTCCAGTTCGCATAACATTTGCGAACACCACTGGTCTGAGACTGCGGAGGGTGTTGTTGCCCGTGGACGCCTACTAGGGGTCGCATTAATTAAATCAGAAATTTCTTCACAAAGTCCTTTTGGATTACAGTTACAAGCGGATCCGTAAAAGACGACAGAACTGTCTGCTGGTCTCTCCTCTACTTCTTTGACTCGAGCTTGTGGCCAGAAATCAGCGGTGGTAGACAAGCTCATTTAATGACATTCTACGGCCGACATGTCTCAATGTTATCATTGGGGTTTGCGGTATCCTATGAGACAGTGTGTCTGACCACAGCCTTCCGGCCGCTGTCGTTGCTGTTTATCAGAACTTGCTTATCGCGTGGGTAATCCTCTCTGAAGACCGTTCGATCACCCGCACACTTGCCGGCCAACCCTCAGCAAAGCTAGTGGCTGAAATCGTTCATCCCGTCCTTCAGCCCCAACAACCTTGTAGGTTGTGCTGGACTGCTGAGATAATTCACCGACTTTTGGGTGCCTCACACTATGGGGCTGTCAAACACCATATGGACGATGAAGGCGATTTACTACGATCGAAGGCACGGTGGACGGTGAAAATTGCTAAATCCTGCCTTGGAATTCGTAAACATTCTTCTGCGGAAAATATGACGTATATGTGGCTACAATGCCGGACGGCAGGGGACGTAATTCCAATATAATTCTCTCTCAGTGGGTTGCTGGTATATGAATGGCAATGCCTTCAGGCACCTACGCCCATCACTGGACTGCGTATTTGAGGGCCCCGGATGTGCGGATGTACTTATATTTCTTTCGGATAGTACGACTTGCACATTATGTGCTAGTTTTGTTGTGAAATACAATTGTAAGGCAACATTTTTATCACTGAATAGTTCGGGAGCCTCTGTTAGTACGTCGGTTGGCCCTTTTGGGATAAATAGGGCTTGATAGTCGGGCATTCCAACAAGCGGATCCTAATATCCCATATAAGCAGCGCTATTCTGACTACCTAATTTTGTCGCGGCTTGGCACAACATCGCTGCACAATCCCACGTAACCAAACATTAACGTTACAGTTGTAGGGACATTCCGAAAACGAGACCGGGCATCGGGAACGGTGGCAACCTGAAAGCTCGACTTTAGTGGCGCTTCTACTCGCCTTCTGTATCAGTTGCGCCTACCTTTCTCGGCTTCGTTTTCGCGAGGTGTTGCGACATGACCAAAAGTCTCCGCCACTAAAAGGGACTGTAAGTAAAATTTATGTCTAGGATTATATGGGATCAAGACCTATAGTGGGCAGGCGTGCAGGTACTTTAAGACGTCTGAACGTTTCTAAAGCCACTGGATAACTGACATCCGTGTTGGCAAACCCTGCCTCAGAGGTCATCCTAGAGAATTAATAGGACTTATTCCCCGTGACCGCCAGCCAATGAAATACCCTTCAGATCTTAGTCGATGTAGCCCTTGCCATTGAGGACCGGGTATTGTTTTTGTTTGTTTGTGGACCCCTGGAGACCCAAAGCAATTCAGAAGGATGTCAATAGAGCTTTTCGTGTCGTTGTCTGATAGTTTTACCGCCGTCGCCGACTATGTCCATCGTGAGCTCCACCGAAGGGCGAAACAGACACGGTGACTTGGGCGTGAATTAGTTTATACTGAATGTGAACTTGCCCAGCATCTACCGCACTCTCTATTCCCACTCCCCACCTGCACCCGGTGTCAAGGCAGAGTCAAGAAGACCGGAGGCAGTGAAGGGCGCAGGTGGCTGGCACGTTGAGCCAGCACCTTGACGTTACACCCCACATCCCCTGGTCCACTCGGCAAATGACCAGCTTTTTGATCACCAACAACAGCAACAACCCAACAGGGGTCAGAAGGACGAGGATGATGACTGGGCAGCCATGCCCACTACCTGAATACGGGCGAGAGCGCAAGCGTATCTACCGGCAGGGAATTTGGCGTCAGGGGACTGCCAGCGCATACCAGGCTGCGAGGGCCATGGTTTGCTGATACTGGCATAGCGCACGCTTTCAGACCTTTTGACGTAGAAGGGTAACACGTGGCCCTGCATTTAGCCTGGGCCGTCACCTTTCAAGGTTAGGTAACCAAATATTCATCGAATGAGAGACCCCACCCATAAATCACACACAAACACTCTCCTCACCTGCATTAGTGTCACAGATTGCTTGAGCAAGGCCCGTGACAGCCTGGCTCTCAGCCCACCAGTCTGCCACTCCACACAACACACACACACACAACTGGGCAGACTGTGTGGACTGGTTTGGGGTGTCAGTCGGCTACCTTCCGAGCCACGGCGCTCGAGGCCCCGTCTTCGTCTTAGACTCCGATCACACATGCAGCAGGGGAGCCGCATGGATAAGGAGCCGAGATGCACACTTCCCACTTGTGTGGGAGGTGGCAGTTGGATGCTTGCGATGGGGGATGTTGGTGTGTGATGAGATGCTGGTGAGGGAGGATGTGGTGGTGTGGAGTAGCCGAGGATTGTCTACCGCAGGTTTTCTTGGACGTGCATGTCATCGAAGAGACCCATGCGGTGAATAAATGTGCGAGTGCAATGTTGACAGTGGAGGCCGATGCGGCGAGTGGAGGTTGATGCTCCAGGCAGTGGTTTGCCAGTCTCTATGCGATGGATTCGCAGATGGCCAACCAGGCCTATGCGTGAGGCGAATGTATGGGGACAGTGTGGACACGAGAAGTCGGCGGTGTCAGTATCAGCCTCAGTGGTGATGATGGTGGAGTTGGTGGTGGTGGCGCGATGGGTGACGGGATGGGGGTTGGGTTGAGCACGGTGGATGGGCAAGATGTACTGAATGTGATGAAGCTGGTGGCGGTGGGCGCCCTAAGCGCGCTGGGCGGCAGAGTGAGAGCGAAGCTAGGCATGGTGGGTTTGCTGAGTGTACTAGGCATGTCGGGCTGCGGTCAATTCCGTCATCGTGGATACGCATGTGGTCGAATAGGCCCATGCGGTGCACGAATATGAGGCCAGTGCAGACAGTGGAGGCGGATGCGGCGAGTGTAAGTTGGTGCGCCAGGCACCGGTTCGCCAGTCTCTGTGCGATGGATTCTCAAGTGATCGGTCGGGCCGATGCGAGAGGTGAAGCTGCGATCGCGAACAGGACATGTATAGATCAGGTCCTAATCATTGGTGTTGACGATGGTGGCGTTGGTGTTCGTGCCTGTTGGTGTGCCAGGATTGTGTGTAGTGTTGATGGGCATGGCAGACGCCATAGTAGCAGGCTTTTAGGCGGTGGAGGAGGGGGAGACGGATGATGATGACAGTGGTGGTTCGGGATTGCATCAACGTTAGTTGACGATGTGGGAGGCGAGGGTGAGGTGAACGGAGAGACGATGGTTGATGTAGTCCGGGTGCCGCAGTTGGTCCATAGGTGTCAAACAAGTCCAATTGGCGCATGGAATGTCCGTTGACATCGTGGACACGTTGGAGGCGGTTGGGCGTTGGCGGTGTGGCTTAGCACAGTTCAGATTTGCGAGCTTTGCTTTTGCCTTTAACGGTGGCGATGCGGATGAGGTGGGTCCGCATCTCCTGACACCTCCTGCAGTTGGTGGGCGGCGAAGATCATGTCGCTGATTCCGCGAGGACGGCGGAAGCAGCACTGACTTTCCGGCAGGGGGCCCTGTCCCAGATGGTTGTCCAGGCGACTGAGAAGAAATCAAGCGAGGATCTTACCGGCAATATTCAGAAGGAAGAGGCCTCGGTGTTTGTCTCAAATTTGGTGTTTCCCTCTGCGCAAGTAGAGCTGAACGATTATGGTGCCTTTGAAGTCCTGAGGGACTTCTCCTTGACACCACATCTTCTGGAAGAGCGCAGTCAGATGATCCATGAGTTGGGGGCCGCCGTGCTTGTAGATCTCATCAGGGACCGCGTTCGATCCAGGCGCTTCCCCGCTAGAGAGCTGCTGCACGGCCTTGATGGTTTCGTAGAGAGAGGGCAGGAGTTCTAGGTCGGCGTTGGTCTCCAAATGAGGAAGACGAGCGACGACGTTTGAGAACGCCTCTTAAGTGCTCGGCCCATCGCTGTACAATTCATGTCTTCTTAGTGAGTAGGGTACTGCCGTCTGCTCTGAGAAGAGAGGCAGTTGCTTTGATTGTGAGACTGTAGACAGCCTTGATCGAGGCGAAGAAGTTCTTCCATTCGTTGCGGTCCGCGTACCCTTGGGTCTCCTCGGCCTTGCGAGCAGTCCAAGCGGCAACTACAGTAGAATGGTACTTTGCTGTCGTCGGCGAGGTGGTTGGCGTAGGCTTTTTGCAGGCGGTTCTTCCCGGCGAGCAGGTTGTTCATGGCGGCGCCAATGTCCTCGAACTAGTCCCGATGCTGGCGACGTGCGCGACCAAGGACAGTCCAGGCCGCCGACTGGACTGTATCCCGCAGTTGACACCACCGGTTTTCCACGGAGGCGTTCACTTCAGCGGCGGCGACTGGAAGGTAGGCTAGTCTTTGAATTAGCTCATTGCTGAAATGGAGATGGTGAGCAGGCAAAGACAAAAAAGCTACCTTGAGGTCACCTGCGACGCCGTAGGCGAGTCCTCATCTCGGAGCTGATGAGACGATGGTCGGTCCATCCATCGGCATCCGGAATTGCGTTTGGCACTAGCACGTCCCGTTGGTCTCGTCTCCGGACGAGGACTTAGCCCAGCAGGTGCCAGTGTCGCTACCGACGTGGCCTTCTATCGCATCGCGAGGCGGAAGCGGGTGTTAGTCAGGATGAGTTGGTGTCCGACGCAGGTTCGTAGGAGGAGTAGGTCATTGCCATTAGGGCCGTGAAGACCATGGGGGCCCAGCACTCTTCTCCAGACAGCATGGTTTGTGCCGACGCGGGCGTTGAAGTCACCAAGAACAATCAACTTATCCGTCTTCGGCACATGCACTAGGGAGGCGTGCAGGTCCTCGTAGAATTTGTTCGTGGCAGCGCCAGGGCTGGTCATCGGCGGGGCGCACACGCTGACGATGATTACGAATTTGCCTCCCCGAGAGGCAGACGGAGGCTCATCAGGCGATCACTGGTGCTCTGCGGCAGACAAGGCAGTCGTCTCACGATGTCGTTCCGGACGGCAAAGGCAACGCCCGCGTCCCGTCGCTCTGCCCTGGGGCGACCGCTCCAAAGGAAGGCGTAGCCTGTGTCGTTGTCTACTAGGCAGGTCTGTATATGATTGTGATCTGACCAATCCCCATTTTTGAATAGCGGAAGTAAAGCGAGTTTGTTTGAGCCCTATAGAAAGAACTTGTTGTGCTGCATTCTCGAAGGAATCTTGTCGAGCCTTAATGACAGCTTCCACCGTCCTCTCGTACATTTCAGCCAATTTTCCGTGTCCACGCTAAGAGTTCGATATCAGCAGTTGGCATGCAAAGGTGGTGGCAGGGAATGCTGCGTCTAACGTATTTGGAGATAGTTTGTTAAGTAAATATGAGTGACTTGGCAAACATTCACCCGGAGAAATTTCTGGACGGTCCGTCTTCACCCTTGTTTATTTGGCCTCCCAGAGGATATCGCTACCGGGACCATTTCCAGGCTGTATGCGCTTTTTTCGTCTCTCGCGGGCAGGATTTTCTAAAAATATTGTGCTCCAAACTTTGAGTTTTCAAACAATTCGCTGCGCTATGCTTAATCTGTTGATTGGAGATGGATTTGCGTCTCCTTAAAGACACGTCTGTGGTTGTTCAACGATTTAGAACTACAGAGCTCGGCATATTTAACTCCCCCGTTTTCCCCTAGATAGTGGTGTTGGGTTTGCGCCTACCGTAGTCTACGATCGTCATTGTTCAGCATTTGGTGCCACTACTGTCTCTGGGTGGAAGCGGGAGATCACTTGTGCAGGTTTTGTGGTGGGATACACTTGCAGACATTTGTAACATCCACCTCACTCTCCCGAAGCCCAACGTATTCACAGATTCATATAAAGTTGAGATGACCGGAGCTGCACGTAGACGCACTGACTGACGACTGAGATCACGCCTGTGTACATCACACATGTGCTGTCCCCAGCATCCAAGCAACTCAGATTTCGCGAATCTGGAAGAAGCTCTTGCAGTTCGGCCGCCAGTTCGGAAGGTGAACGGGGTTATCCCGTCAGCTGGCAGTCTCCCGAGTGCGTTCGATGTGTGGTGAGAAAAGCACGCATTAGGTCATTATTGTTGCGCTCCCCCGTCCAACTATACACCGTTGACAGCCCAGGTCAAATCGACTTTAGTTGACGAAATCGCATGCAGAGACTGGCGTGGACTAGAGCCTCTGCTCACGCCTGCCACGCACAACGGTAGGTCTCCAGAAGACCTACTACCAGTATAGTTATATTGTCTAGTATGAGGAGAGGGTAAGGCAATCTCTGGGGAGGATCGTTTTATCCTCTCCTTCCACCTTAAAACCCAGGGTCAGCATTTTCGTCTACATCCACATTGACCAGTGTAACTGTTTTTGCTTATTCTTCATTTTCCATTTTTATATATCTCAATTAATGTTCGCATACATTAAGTCGCCCGACAGGTATTCCTTAAACCGAGAGTGCTCAACTAAAATTTACGAACTAAGTGTCTGAACTGCCAATGTGGCTGCTTCTCCGTACAAACTAATGGCTGAAATGTCTTTTGATCAAAAATGCCTTCTCTCGGTAGACCCACGCAAGAAATAGTACTTAGTGTAAAAAAGTTGGTAGTCTTTTAGGGCATTTTTGGAATGTTCGTCGGCTCGATCCTGCGGTAGGTAGGGAGTTCTAAATTTCTTGCAGATGGATCACGGCAACAGTCTAACAAACAGACACAAGCACCATTAGTATGACCTGAATGCGCGCATTCTCACTTGAAATAATGTGGGGCAGCGGATTCCGGCAGTGCCATTACATGGCACCACTGAGAGGGAGCGGAGGTTGTATTGAGCAGGTCGGCGATGCACCTGGCTAAGCCCATGAGTGGAGGTGACGCTCAGAACGCGCGAATCATATCTGTGGGATGTCCCCTGTCCACAATATTTTGTGGAGAAATTACTCCGCAATCTGCTGGGGATGCTTTGGACTAACGGAGGGCTGGCCCCTCTTGCTAGCATTGTTGCACGTCCATAGGCGACAAATGGCGGACTGGTCTTCAGCGAAGGCCTGCTATGAAATAATCAGTCGCCACAATCAGCCGAATAAGCAGTGGCCGACCGCGTAACGATCACCCCCTCATTCAGGACTGGACGCCAGATGAGTCGGTTATCTGTAAAAAACTACAAGCTGTAGAAGTTTTGCATGGCGGAATGTTGCACACTGCCGTGCACGGCTTCCAGCAAAACTGTATTTTAGAGTTGGAGCTCAAGATCTCGCCTGTACCATGGGAATTTGCGGCTCCGCGACAATTCATGCCTTATGAAATGCGACCCCTACTGCGGCGTCCGTGGGGGCTGACGCATTCGTACAATCAACTGTGAGTGCTGGAACGCGCATATTATCGAAAATCCGAGTCAACAACCCCTTATGCTACGCAGCTTGCCTATCTACTGTACAGACACTACCTTCGTATTGGAAGTTGGGTTGGTCGAGTTCTGTTCAAGCGCCAGGAAAGAGCCAAAATCAAACATCGTCGAGCAAAGTTAATGCAAGGGCAAGTGGGTCAATGCCGGCCGACAAGACGTGGCGGAGGACGTACAAGATGCTCGTGGCGTAGGAGCACGCCCCTCCTTATTCATACCCTCCGAAATCTTTGCTCCCTACTCCCCAACATGCTGTCAAAATTGGTACAGAGGATTTGAACACGTACACAGGCCAAGTTAACCCAATGGTCCGTCACGATTTCGGGCAGTTTGTCATTGGCAATCAATGCGACACCGACGATCGACCCCCTGATTTCCATGAAAGCACTTGGCTAGTCGTGGCTTCAGCATTCGAAAAGACATTTTCTTGCTCGATATTAAAATGACGGACGTCCCGCTACAAAAATTCACTAAACTGTTGTGGGTAAATGTGTTCAAGTTGTAAAATATCGCGAGCCAAGACGGATAGCAAACAGAGCAGAGAACAAAACCTTGGACCAAAGCTCGTTTGAGTTCTCTTCTGGAGGTGTTCATGAAAAAAATTGCAACCAAGAAACCGACTGTTCGCAAATTCCGATGTACCGAACCAATCAGCCTTCTTTAGCGGGAACTCACCAACCGCCTTAATCTAGCAGGAAATCATGATACAGTTGCTTCGCGTGAACGAAGAATGGGTCCTGCTTACAAATGACCTATATAAGGCGTTCCCCCCCTAGATCAGAGAAGGCGTAAACCCTAAGGATGAATATTGAATGACGGCATTTAACTAGACGATGATACGAATTATGCTTTCATCATAAGTAGACCCAAATCTTAGAGCATTGCACCAGCAAAGGGCATGATCAGAGAGAAAATACCGAGACCGACACTGGCAAAGCATGCAATCATAACTGGAACAGGCCACTGCCCACGACAAAGTTATTTGTCTTCGTTTAAGGACAATTCAATGAACAACTCAGCCATTATAATAAGAACGAAACGCTCCATTTTGTCATTGAGTGAACGATCTCGATGATGGCAAGTGCTCTCTGCCGGCTTGTGTCGTTTGCGTACTGGGTGTGCTTGTCGAAGACTACTGCAGATGTCTCTGCTAAGCGCCCCGGTTGCGGCAACATAGCTATCATCTGCTGACAGAATTTAAGCGGCATGCCAGTACCTTTGGAACAAGACAGTGGCAAGGGCTGACGAGATGCTATAAGTATTACTCCAATTTTATTCATAAACGGTTTTAGAAGCGTTGTTCCAACGATGCGTTGATAAGATAGGGGGAGGATGGCTGAAACCCTGGCGGAGACTGTCGACCCGATATTCACACTACCATAGGGTTTGGGGAAAAATTAGTCTTCTTCATTCAGCCCACTGCAGGGTTTGACGCAGTTGGAAAGCCGTAAAGACCGACTGCAAACATCCAATCCTACCAAGCCTAAATAAGGAGTATAAGTAGACCAAGTGAGCGCATTTCCAAGCGTGTGGGCAGTTTAACCTTTGATACCGGTGACTGACAGAGTTGAGCCGTCCCAAAGAACCGCATTACAATACTCAACGACTGTGATAGTGACCAGGCAGAGCTCGTACGTGTCGGTGACAACGCCCTGCTTTGGAGGTCGTTCCAGAAAATGCACACAACCTTGGCATCGAACTACCATCTCCCGCCTCCGGCCGTAGTAAGTTCCCTCCATCATTCACATGGCGCATCGCAGCTCCGTGGTGTGAGACACTCAGAAATTCGATTAATTACCCCACTGGTTGGGGTGGAAGAACGGGAAAACTAGCTCAGCCATTAGCTTCGTTGTCCACAACTCGACCTGGCTGCGGGTGGCAGACAATTAACGACCTTCAGGGGAGATCAGCTGCGTCATAAACAAGTTCTCGTGTCTGACAAATATGCAGTCGCGAGTTAGCGGTGACAGTGCTACCAGGGCGCTGAGGGCTGACGTCTAGAACACCGATTACCCTATGAAATACTATCGCAGAAGCCTAATCCGAGAGTGAGACCCTGCTTTCCACGACCATCAGGCCCGGCCCCGAATGGGAGGATGGATGTCAGCTGGGGGACTTGCA